ACCAGCTTTTCATCCTGAGTGGTTTTTGACGCTCCCGAGGCCCGGCAAGGGCCCCCGGAGGCCGAAAATACCGAAAAGCTCCCCGTCGTGATTTTTCCACAGCGCGAGGAGGTCTGGGCAGAGAGCTCCGCCGAAGGATTTCCAGGGAGGCACGGGGGCATCGCGCGTTCGGGGCGGGTCCGCCAGGCGGCCGCGCGGCGCGGCGTGCCCGGTCCAGTGGGGCTTCGCCCCAGGCCGCGCGAGGACCCGAGCAGCCCCCCAGGGCCTGCGCCGCCCCCGACGGCGACTGTGGACGCCCGAAATGGGCACGGAAAGAATGGGTACAGTGCCCAACAACAAATGTTGTCCCAAACCAGCAGCGGCCGCTGTTGGGCCGGCGGCCGTCTGTCTCCAATGGAAACAGGCCGCGGCGACACCGACAGCGAGTCCTGTTCGAAATGAACAAGAACTGCTGTTGGGCATGGTACCCATTCTTTCCGTGCCCAGGTCGGGCGTCCAAAGCGACACCAGCAGGAGGGGCACCCAGCCCCCCTCGCGTCGCGAGAGAACCGTGACGGGTGGTTGTTCGTGGTGTTCGGCCTCCACGAGCCCTCGGAGGGCCTCGGGGCCTTCCAGAGGCGATGCAGGATGAAAAGCGGGTCCCCAGGAAAGGGTCCAGACTTCTGAGGCTTACGTCACAAAAAATCATGACGTCGGGGGTTTGAGGAGTAAGTGGAGGAGGTTATGATGGTCTCTCCGTTTCTCCCTCCCCCCACGTTGTGTTTGTCTACTCTTGCCAAAGTCTCTTCTCGCAGCCAGTTACAAAAGCTACCTGGCTGTCTTGCTTGATCATACCCCCTGGCCAGACTGGCCCTGGGGGGGCGGCAGTCGACGGCTTCTCACGCCACCAGGTTCCAGGTTCCAAGTGGAGGAGGGACGAGGGGTAACGAGGGGAGCGAGGAGGATAAGAAGCGCATCGCCAGCCACGAAAGTCGTCCGTCTCGAAGTGTGGGCCCCTGTGCTCGAGAAGGGTTGCCCCTGGGCTCAGGACATGGCCCAGGGTAAGTCTGAACTCTGCGCGTTGGCGGCGCTTTAGGTCAGAGGCCACAGGAGCTGCACACAACCAGAAAGGATGCACTCGACGCGGAGATTCCCACATCTGCATTTCGTTTCCTGGCACTTCCCCTCTGCGCGCGTCTGGATGAGAGGCCTGTGGCGACTGAGCGATCGGTGGCGGCTGCCCTTGGAGCGCCCAAATTGTATGGCTGCTGCATCGGGATGCTCTTGGGATTTTGAAACGGGAGGAGCCGGGGGGGGCCGAAATCAGCGTATCGCTTCAGGCGTCCTCACGATCTGGCCGCGAACAGGAAAGTGTAACGCTCCCTCGCGTCTTCCCCCTGGGGTGTCCAAATGCTTTGCCTGTAGGATCGCGGTGACCATGGGGCCGTGAGTGGAGAGGAGGTCGGGCGTGCTAAAGCCGACGCCTCGCTCGAGACAGCCCCCGTCCGAGCGCGAACGGGCCCGTGGTATTTACCCCGGCCGTTCCCCCTCGTGCTGCCCAGGTGCGATGCTTGCTACACCGCTGCGACCATGGGGCTCTGAAACGACATTCGTCCACTCGGCCAAGCAAGCGCCTCGCTTGAGACACCCCAATGATCTGGGCGCGAACGGGCCCGTGCTACATCCCCTGACGGTGCCCCTTGGCGTGACAGAGTATGTTGTTTTCTGCATCGTTGTGACCAAGGGGCTATGAAAAGAGATTTGCCCACTGGGCCAAATGAGGGCCTCGTTTAAGACATCCCAACAATATGAACGCGAACGGGTCTGGGATACCCCCTGGTGGCTCTGTCTCGGGGTGCCCACATGTAAACCTGCTACATCGCGTGATACATGTGGTATGAGTATGGGTGATTGGGGGCGCACGTGTCTGTGTGCGAGTGGTTCGCGGTATGAGTGAGTCGGAGTGTGAATGATGAAATTGCGAGTCGCCCCTAAATCGCGCAGCGAGTTTATGGGGGCAGTGAAATTCGAGGAGTGCACGGACTTCCTTTCCCTTTGGCCTCGTGGCCTCCTCGCATCTTGCCCTCGGGCTCGCGGCTGCGAGCGTTCCTTGCATTATTTCTGGGAGCAGCTCAGCTTGGGCTTCGCGCGCGTTCTCCCGCGCTCCGTGGCAACTGGGGATTGTTCCCACGCTTCACCTTGCTGAGGTGGCGGCTGTCTGTCGTCGTCGTCTGTCTGTCTGCCTGCCCGTGTGTCTGTATGTGCATCGGTTCGGGCGTGGCCTGGAGGAGTCCGTCGCTGCCCGAAGAGGCTGGCGAGCGCCCTGGAGGCTGCGCGACCGCCAGGGAGGCCCCCGGCTGGGGCTCGCGATCCAGATGGGCGAGCGAGGCGCCCCAGGTGGCCGACTGGAACCGCGCTGTCCTGTGGTTGCCGTTGCGGCGTCTCGGTGGTCGCGCGGTTCCACAGTGCTCGGGGGTGTTTTTTTTGTTCCGCCCACCCTCCCAGCGCGTCGGGTTTCGCTGCCTGGGGCGTTTGGGGTTCTCCTGGGATTGCCCTTGCCAGCTGCACGGAAGTGGGCTGCCGTGTGAGAGGTCTTCTTGCATGAATACGTACATGATTCAGCTGAGTGTGAGCGGGTCTGAGTGTAAGTGTGCGTGAGTATGAGTGAGTCTGAATGTGAGTATGTCTCCGCATGAGTGAGTCTGAGTGTGAGCGGGTGTGGGTGTGAGTGGTCTGCCTATGAGTGAGTCTGAGCCTGAGCGAGGTGAGAAGGGGAGGAGACGGAGGAGGAGGAGGAGGAAGAGAGGAACAGGACGCGGGCGAGCGGAGGAGGCGGGAGGCGTCACGAAGAACAAGAGCCCCGCACTTGGGGCATGGTAAAAATCAGCGCGAAGCCTGGCCCGGTTCTCGATCCCGCGGGCGGATCCAGCCGTGCCGACATGGAACTTCGCGGAGCCCCTGAAAAGTGTTGAACCCCCCCACACACACACACACACACACACACACACACACACACACACACACACACACACACACACAAAAAAACAGCATCGATCCTCGATCCCTGAAAAGTCTGGATCCCTAAAAAGTGTTGAACCCCTGAAAAGTCTGGATCCCTCGATCCTCCCGCATCCAGCTCGCAGTGGACCCTACGAGAGGGACTCGAGAGTGGCTCTTTTCAAGGCGCCTTGAAGGCGCCCCCACGACGGGGCGGCGCCGAGAGGGGGGGCCTCCGAAGAAGGCGGGGCGCTCACTCGAGGGCACGGGGTGCTCTCGGCCCCCCCGCGGCTTTTGAGAAAACTGCCCAGAGGCTCCTGGATCCCGAAGGATTGCAAAAAAACGAAGGATTGCAAAAAACGAAGGATTGCAAAAAGAAGGATTGCAAAAAAACCCTTCGTTCTTCTGAGAAAACTGCCCAGAGTCTTCTGGATCCGTTCCCGGACCTCCTCTCTTCGTGAAAAATCACGACGGGAGGTTTTTCTTTGCTTTCAGGCTCGAGGGGCCCTTCCCGGGCCTCGGGACCGTCAGAAACGACTCGGGATGAAGAACCGGTCCCGAGGAAGGGGTCCAAACCTCTGGGGGTCGACGTTGTGAAAAAATCACGATGTCGCGGGTCTCGGTTATACCCCCCGAAATCCAAATTTGGTTGATGTTTTCACACGGGGCGGCCGGCAGCCCCGACCCGCTCCCCAGGTCCAGCTGTCTCATTCCCAGGCCGCGGTTTGACGGCCCCGCGGCTCTGCGAGGGCCCCCAGAGGCCGAGAACAGCGGGAGAATCTGCGTCGTGAGATTGTTTCACGACGCGAGCATGTCTGGGGACCTTCCTAGGATGGCCCACGCCTTCTCAGAAGCCCCTGTCCTCTCCCGAAACGTCCTCGGATATGATTTTTCACCGCGCGGCCCCAGTGACATGACTTTTCACCGCGCGGCCCCAGTGGTCCCGACCCTTTCCCCGGGAGTAGCTTGTCGTCCCAGATCCGTTGCTGATGCTCCCGGCGCCCGATCGTGCGCCCCAGGTGCCGAAGTCGAGGACGAGCGCCGGGATAGAAAAGGTTCGCCAGCGTGGACCCCAAACGGGAAGTTTCTGCACTGTGGATATGTAAATTGTGTGGTACAAGGTATGTAGTACAGCATTCGCGGCGCAAGCTAGAGGCGATAACGAAGCAACAACGGCCTGCCACGTGGCGACACCTCGCCAGACCCACCCAGCGCACGAGGCGACCACGAGGCGGAAACGTGGATGATCCTCGCGGGACCCAGCCAATTCCTCAGCGACATAAGCAAGAACCCCTAAGTGCAAGCATTGTTCAGGGAAAGATCTGATCGTCGGAAATCTGGGTCCCTGAGGCTTTCGAGCCATAATTCGGACCTTCAGCGACCGTTCGGGACGATCCAGGCACCCCCAGAACGCTCTCGGCAAAGTGAAGCTTCTGGAGCGCACCCCGAGGCTGGAAGACCGTGGAGAACCACAGGAAATGCTCGAACATCTGCGGGATCTGGGGACGACGACGGCGACCAGCGAACAGCGACAAGTTCATACCGTCGGAGGTCTGGGCCAGAAGGCCGCCCTGAGCACCAGACCCCCGACGTCACGCGCTTTTCATAACGTGGATCCCCAGAGGTCTCGACCCATTGCCCGGGACTGGCCTGTCGTCCCGAGTCGTTTTTTTTGGGCACAGAGGCCGAAAATAGCGGAAAGTTTCCCGTCGTGATTATTTCACGATTCGAGGAGGTTTGAGTCGGAAGGCATTCCGTGACATGCTCATCTGGCCGTTGCACGACGAGGACGACGACGAGGAAGAGGTGGAGGAGGCGGACGACGACGACGACGACGACGACGACGACGACGACGACGACGACGACGACGACGACGACGACGACGGCGGCGGCGGCGGCGGCGGCGGCGGCGGCGGCGGCGGCGGCGGCGGCGACGACGGCTACGACTCGAGGGGCTCCCGGGACGGCAGGCCGCCCCCCTCCGCGCCACCCTCTCGTGCGCGCCGCCTGGGCGGGGGCCTCGG